TTTTTTTCCCACCCTTGTAGCCCACAGCAGCCACGGAAGCATTACAGTACCCAGCATGTGCAAGATGGATTAGATGCTGCCAAGAGAAAGGAACAGCTTCCTGTGGTCCTGCTAGTGAAGCCCACGGCTGCAGTGGCTGTGGTGTTACTGTCAAATACCTCAGGGCTGGCACCACATCAGTGAGGTCACCTTCTCAAAATTACATTTGTAACACAGCCTTCTTTAATTTTCTGGTCCTAATATTTGTTTCTGAAAAAAAAAAATCAAAACCAACAACAGAAAAATCCAAGCCTAACCAAATGCAGATTCTTTCCCTCCCATCTTACATACCAGGTATGTGTGACTTCTACATAATATAAAACTTACAACACTGTATTTCTACTTATAGCTCCTATAGATCTGAATGAAAATCCAATATCAAGGAGCCAAGATTTCATTTACCACCCCCCATAAACAACCTATAACCCAAATTTGACCCCACCTAACCAAGAGTCTACAAGATGAGAAAAAACTTCCTGTCCTAAATGCTCTTTGGATCAAGTCTCAGCTTAGATGAAGACTCAAAAACATAATGGATGCATCAGTTCCACCAAAATCAGTGAGGCACCACACACTTAAACTGGTATTAATTACTAACTTCAAGAGTTTTTCTAGACAAGACCTYTGTTCTACGAATATTAAAGCACCAGAATTTTAACTGGCTTCAACCACAGTATTGTAGTCACAGTTAAAAAGAAAACTTCCCCCTTGACAGTGTGAGAAGCATTTTCTTGCAAGTGTGCCTTTAAAATTTAAAAGAAATATCAAGTGGGAAAAAACTCTGTTCTTGTTCCTAATGAATACTTCTTTATACTGAGCTCACACACACGCTATTTATGAAGGAAAATGGATTATACTGCATTTGACAGTTATAGTGCTATAAACATTCATCTAGACCAAGCTCACATTAAAATACCTTTTAAGTGTCACTAAAAAGGCATGAGAAAGCCATATTTATTATTCTCTTATTAAGTCAGTACCATATCAACTATAAACCTGAAGAACAATAGATATATTTGAAACACAGAGTGTTGTAACTTGAACTCAGCATCACAAATATTGAAAGCTGCACCCGTAACCTTCGGCACACCTCGTTATCACAGCACAGCTGCAGGGACAGACAGCTCATAGATAAAATAGATATTGTTATGAATAAATGTGTCAGATCATTCAATAATTGTTGCTCATATGAGGCAGTACAGAAGAAGTGCAGAAATTCCTTCATAAATTGGCCACCCACGGTTTTCCCTCCTTTGTGAAAGAGCCACCTTTAAAATGCACACTCTTGGGATGAAAAGCCACAGTAATTTCAGAGAGTTTTAACTTCAGGGTGTCAGTCACATGAAGCATGGGGGGGTTTTGCCCAGTCCACTCCAGMTTAGGCTCTGTACAGACAGACATACATATATGCATACAGGTGGCTGCAGGAACATTGGCAGGAGTGAGGCACAAGGGAGCTGCAGCTGCTGTGTCTGGTGCTGTGATGGCCATGAAGCCACACCCTCACATGCAGGGCCAAGTCTGGACCCTGTGAGAGATGATGTTCTGGTACCTCCCTGGCTCATCTCACCCTGCCCATTATGCTGATAGGACAATTTTAAAAGGTTCCTCAAAGTTGTAACAGTTTCATCTCTTTAGTTCATTCCCAATTTCAGCTGAGTCTGGATCAGTAGTGTGATGGTAGATTGTTTATTATTTCTCTGCCAAGGCTCATTTTTAGTACCTTCTACCAGAGAAGGCCCACACAGGGAAGGTATATCCAGCAATTTCTGTAAAGGAGCTCAACACAGACAGACTCAGATAAAGAAGCTGTCACTAGGGACCAGGACAAGGAAGGATAAATGAGTGGAACAGAAAGCTTAACAGGCATCTCCAAGTGCGCTGGATAAGAATCATTCCCAAGCCACGCAACTGAGAGTCCATGGGGAAAAGAAAACAAACAAAAGCTAGGCACAAACTACACRCAGCTTCTTAGGCTCCTGCAGTTTTGCTCCCTGATCTTTTGATTGCCTTTATCAAGAAATGCTTGTCATTGCTTCATGCCATGTATATATGAAAAATCACWTCTACCTTCATCCTAGGTGCTGCCTGAAGGCAAGAAGCGCATCTTACACCATTCCTTCATCTTCCAGTGACTTCTCACACCCACCTCAAACGTGCTCTTGAGTACTCATTTGTATAGTAAATCTAACAGGAGCAAAGCACAGGCAGAGCTGCGTTCTTTAACAAGAACTCCCACACCACAGGCTTTGTTTTTGAAGCACCAAAGTCTCTTCCTACTGAGAATGYAACCATGTAATTTGAATTCTTGAGCTATTCACTATAGCATGGCACAGCAATAAGAAGCACAATGCAATTACAAGAAAAACCCCACATATATAATCACTAAATGTGAGAGCATACCTTCCCTGATAGCAGTAAATGGGGTTCCTTCCTCTTCTTGTAATCTAATCACCTTCAATGCCACCAGCTTTCCATTTACCCTGAAAGGGAAAGAGGGGACGGTAAGGAGAAATTTCAAAAAAGCAAAATTACAGAAGAAACAGTATTTCTCATAATAGAACTTGTTTCCGATCATGTATTTATTCAATTTCTTCCTGTCAATGCCAGTGATTCATTTATAGCACTGTAAGAAACACTTCATAGCTTCCATAATGTCAACTTTATATTTTCACACTCAGATGCAATCCAAGAAATGATCTCAGTTTTCTGTGAGTCAGTCTGTTTCCTTTCTACCACAGCTTTGTTACTGAAGCTTTGTTAAGAAGTATCACACTGTAAAATTTGGTTATAAAATATCTGTTCATTATTTGATCAAACTGTTCAAAGAAAAAGGCATATGATTTTCATCAATCACTTCACATGCAGCATATCCAGATTTACACTGATTACCTCCTTCCCACTGCTTGACACACATAATCATAGTCTTCAAAAAGCTACAAAGTTTGAGTAATGAAATAATTTTTAGGTCRTCCTGGCTATTTCTCACTAGGGTAGATTTGTTCCTGAGGCACTTTCTTGACTACATGGCCCAGGCCGCTTTTAGATTATAATAACTCTCCTGTATAAGTTTAAAAATATTTTGCTCTCCAAGAGACAAAACTTCTTAGCAGGTCATTTTAGTGTAAAATCTATTTGGCTTGTTTTCACTTCTAGCATTCAAAATTTCACCACATATGAATTACATTCCAGGCCTTGAAACAAAATCCAAGTGGTTCAGTTTATCTAAATAAGATCTCACCAAAACTGAACGAAGCCAACATTCATTATCCTCTTCAAGAACAAACTCACCGGATGAAACTTTAACAGACACCCCATGTATGACAAGCAATGGWGAGGATTATCTACCAAAAAGGCATCACACAGCTTAAAAAAAAATTATTTTTATTATTAAGATTTATTTCTGTAAAAGCAAAATTAGATTTTAGCTCAGCCACAGAGCTCAAGGACGCTTTGGAGCCTTTACACTGCTGTAGTCATGGAGGCAATTCCCTACTGTACTAAGCCCTAGAAGATGCATTACATTTTCAAAGCAAGATGATATGGACAACCACCAACTCTGAATTCATCTTCTCCCTCAGGCTTTTAATTTTTGCAGTTATATGAGTTCAGTGACGGATGACTACTGTCTTGTTTCTTCTGATTATTCTTCTTTTATAATTACCAAAACTCATTAGCTCTATACAGAACATTGCACAATGACTCTGAGCAAGTTAAGAAACCTTGGTTATCAAAAGATGGTTTACTCATCACCTTCCAATTATTCACAATATTTCAGGCTGGCACCAGTTCAAGTCTCAGGCCACTAGTCACTGCTGAAAGACAATTATCATCTTAACTCTACTGGATTATCTGGATTTCTCCTTATAATTATCTTACATATTTTTATTTGGGTTTATACAGGACTTATGGCGTCAGAAAAAGATAAGCCTTGCCTCAAGTAACTTCATGTGTCATGCTCAGACAGAGGAATAAACCTTATTAAAAGCAGAAGTAGAAGGACTGATGACAGACATGCAGTTCATATACATGTGTAGTTTTCAATTTCTCTGTTAATACATGCATCATATACATATTACTTARATACTTGGATGACTTGCATATTTTACAACAGATGAAATAACTGCAGGAGGAATTTAAGTGAGAAAAACAAGATCATTTTGCAGATAAAGAACAGGACAGATGTTGTGTTCAGAGAAGGCAATGAAAAATACAGTGGAAAAAAGCACATCGAAGAGGTATTRAGGAAACAGGGATATGGAGTCTCCTGATAGAGACAGATAAATAACAGGCAGCGTTGTGTACATTATGTTCTTTTTAATCGGAAGTTCTACATTCCATTGATACATGAAGAGCAATAAATAACAAAAATAGCAGTAATATGGAATTAATTTCAAAGAATTCACAATTAAACGCAGTAGATGAGCTGTGCATTTTAGTTATCATTGCCCTTCTGTCACTGGTACCTGTCATCATCTTCATAGACATSATGGCAACTCCCAGTACTATCAAAATAATCAAACTAATCTCAAGTAGTGTTCCTCTGGGATTTCATTCCCCTCTTTCGTATCATTTATCTCCAATATATCAATCTCTAATTTCCATAATAAAACAGCCTCCTTACTCTCATTTATTACCCAGTCATTACAATCTTTTTTTTTTCCATTTAATTTTCTATAAACAGGAGCATATAAAACTGGAGATGTGAGAAATTATGAAGTATCAATTAAAGAGATAGGGTGTATATTCACATCTTTTAATTATCCTCCCACTGATGCAATCTCAGGATGGTGTTAGATGATGCTGAAGAGATGAGCTAAGGGCTGCCTCAGGGTATAGGTTTCTCCTGAAAAATTCTTGCCACACACTCCTGCCACTGCCTCGTATTTGCTATAATTTGTGCTGGACTTTACAATGTCACTGCTTAAGACCCTAAATAAGAGAAGACTGGCCCTTCCAAAAATAATCAAATCATATTTTTTTAAAAAAAAATTGGAAAGGCATGAAAAAAGAAGAAAAAAAAACACACTAGAAAATATGTAAGAACTGGGTCCACCTTTTGTGAAGCAATGTGTCATAGSATCAAGCCAGCTATGGCACGAAATTACACCCTGAAACTTGTGATGCCATGTCAAAATAATATGGCAGTGCCCTTAAAAACAACACTGAAAAACAGAAACCTGGATAAAATTACCTCTGCAACCTATCAATATTTGTCTTTGCAGACTTCAGAAGTGATCAGATAAGGTTAGCAGAAGATATTACTTCACATTTGTCTTCCACAACTTTCAAAGCATGCTCAGTATTTTCATTATTTTCGAATACCAGTAAAAAAACCTGACAAACAGACTGCCTTTTAGGCAGTGAAATGGCAACACTGCTGCTTCTTTTAACATCTTGGATTCATTAAACCACCTCTATTACTCACTGTCCAGAGCAAACAATTTCACATCTTCTCAAAACAATACCCTTCACTGGGTCAAGGATTACACTTCTCACCTTATGCCCGTCCTGTCAACTGCCTCATTAGTTTCTATTAAGGACAATATTGTCTAAAGAATTCCTGTTTTCTAAGCCATCCTCCCTCCTAAACTGACTTACTTTCTCTTTCTCATCCAAAAACCTTCAGAAAAAGTACAGAAGTCCTAAAGGCTTTCTAGTTATCACACAAAACTACTTTACTCTAGGCAAAACAGCTGCAGCTGATGGACAGTTTCTCAATTTATGGAAATTCAGCACTTTAACATTACATAATATCTTCTAATAAATTTCTGAATATATATGCAATGTAGGCAAAAGGAAAATTAGTCCAAATTGCTTTTCACAACATAAAGTAAAAGTCTGCATACTACAAAAAATACAAATAAACCAGAGATTACAAAAAATGCTAACATAATGTGTTATTCTGCATTTTTGAAACCAACATACATCACCATTACCAAAATTAATACATTTATAAAATGACCATTTATGAGAAARTAGAGAAGACTGGAAATTATTTAAGGCTTTAATGCATCATTAAGAACATATAATACTGATGAATATAAAGTAACTGATGACTTAATTGGCTTCACTGGGGATAATGCTGATGATGCCACACAGAGAACAAAAGAGTACAATAACACTGTTTTCTCAAGTTCTTCAGATATATTTAGATGAAATAAATGTTCTAAATATACACATTTCAAAGAGTCATTTAACATAAAATCTGCCAACTCTGATTTCAATCTGTTTATTTAATACTGAGTTATACCACTGGCTGGAGTTGAGCCTGAGCTCATTATTTGAGCAAGCGCTAAGCTTGGAAACACTTCTGTAAAGAAAAATCAGTAGATGTTATTGGGATGATGCTCTAATTTGTGATATTAATTTCAAGAAACTAATTCTTATGAAGAAAAGTAATTTTCAATTGTTAAATATTCATTTACAGGGAAAGCTCAAAGTTGGATGATCAAACCTTGAGAATATCTAAGTAGAGCTATRCTACTTAGCAATATTAATGTCATAAACAGACACCTAAGACTCCAAACAGACCATGGGGGCCTATTGCTCTGCCAGAAATTTCCTTTGAAGAAACCTGACAGAAGCATGTTCACTGTAGGTTTAGTCAGCTGATTATTCTACCAACGAATAACTAATTCTATATTGAGGGAAACACTTCTTTTAATCATTATCATAAAAGGCAGTTCAGCATAAACATGGTTTATATTATATTTTTCTTACTAAAAATGACTTATGTTTCTAAGTAAAAGCCACTCCCACTCCCTGCTAAAGCCCTACCATGTAAATTCTCAATGGACTAATATGGGCCTTGAATTTCTCTTTGAATCCCACCATCTTTTAACCTCATCCGAGACAAAAGTTACCTTGTTTTAGTAGAAGCTGGTGGATTAAAGATAATTCATAATGCTGACATTTATTAGAGCTGAAAAAACAGAAGATCAAAGAGTTTCAAGAGAGATGAAGAATTTAAATTATTAATTACTGCTGTCACTGGAACTCAGGAGCCAAGGCAGTCTCGTAAAAACAACGTGGCAGCCCTCAAACAGGAGCAGGTAAGAGTTTACCTCCAGGTCCCTCACTCCACACCAGTTCACACCACCCAGCAGCTCCTCCAAGCACAGGGCTGGGCTTGACCTGTGCCTGCTGCAAGGAAATCACCTGGAGGGCAGCAGGGAAAGCAGTGCCAAGCACCATCCTGCCCCACACAGCTCGCAWCCCTCCCGGCCCCACTGATGCTCACACAGGGAGAATTTGGAGACACACACAGAAATATCCCTGATAAGTAAGGTGGCCTCTCACAACTGTGCACGCCAACAGTCACAGGGGATCTTCTGAGAGATGCTGCTGCTCAGCTAGCTGGAAAATGCATTGGTGCACAAAGGCAGCTGGCAAATTACTTCAGTGTTTTCCTTACATTCCAATCACACATATATGGCCAATAAGGCACTATCCAGTGAGTCTACCATGTGTATGCAATGTA